CCTGGCCCCTGCACTTACCTAAGCAAGTGCTTAGTCCGCTAAGCTATACCGCTGGCCCTTATTGTAATTATTGACAGGCTTGTAAATTTGAGAATGTTGTTACATTTGTGGAATGTTTCAGGAGGTAGTACATTTAAAAAAAACTTCTACTAAGACCAGAAAACACAAAAGGCCGATAGCATACAATATGTGTTTATACCAATGATGCAAGAGTATAAGAAAGATTTGGAGGAATGGTCAATCTGTTTCTTCTAATTAACTCTTAATTAGGAAATAATTCAGAGTCCTACTTGGCAATATAATCTGAATGAATCTAGAATAACATATAACGATGTCACATCATAATTGCAAACTTAATGTATATAGACTCAATCATCATGATGGGGAAAAGAAGAGACAATTTAACCAGATTTGATCCTCTTCAATTTCAATTAATGAATGTATGGCCCAGAGTAAAAGGAGATGCCGAATGCCAACAAACTGTTGTCTCCTCAGTTGGTCTTGGTCCAGCAGACAGGAGGTATCTCTTTATGTTCAGCACAGTGCCAATTACTGAGCATATAAAATTATTAAAAAATACATCCGAGCTAGGAGATAGCTCAGTGATCTAAGCGCATGCCTGGCAAGGGCAAGGACCTGAGTTCAGTTTCCATAGCCTCGGTACCCCAGGTGCACCATGCTGGCCCTGAAACCGGGTGTGGTGGCGTATGTCTGTAATCCCAGTGCTGGGGAGGCTGAGACAGGAGGATCACTACCAGTCAGAATAGTGCAGCGATACCTTGTATCAAACAAACAAACAAATAAATTTTAAAAATAAAAAATACATCCTGCCTGACCCATAAGTGCAAATCATTTACAATTATTCAGAGGTCATTTGAAGAAATAGCAATCTATTCCAAACCAAGAAGAAAGTGTGTGTATGATTAACTTTTCTATGTGTTCTAATTTTAGGACAATTGAAAATTTTTTGAGGGTAATTCTGGACTCAGATGAGATCCTTTTGTTTTGAAACAAACACGTGTATGCCTTAGGAGAGGCAGAAGGGATGCGGGCGCAGGCTCCGCAGAGGCGGCTGTACTCACGATCGGCGTCGGCAAACACGATGCAGGGGCTCTTTCCTCCCAGTTCCAGGGTGACTCTCTTCAGGTTGCTGTTCCCAGCAGCTGCTTTGATTATTTTGCCAACCTGAAATGCAGTGTTGCCAAGGGGAAGCCTTACTATGTGCTCATGAGGCAGGTTTTACATTCTACGTTTATCGGATGTTAGTGGCATCAATAGAGTTCAACCAGAGGAAACACTAATTGGCCTTTTTTTCTTTGCATGAGCACCTGGAGACTTAACAGGTTGCTCTGCCCAAGATCTATGAAGATACAGAGATGAAATAGAAAAGTATTCATGGGGAACAGCACAGAGCTAGAACACAAGCAGTCTCGATGTGCATGGCTAGAGAGGAGGGTATTTTCATTTTCATCGTAACTGCCCTCTACGGATTGATCAAGCACATTGTGACCCAACCCAGAATTCCTCCCTGAATTTTCCATTTTCCTGTCCTGCACTGCAGAACTCTGTCCAGCAATCTGCCATATACCTTACCTCTGAGTGTTGTTTCTTTTTCTCATTTTATACCCCTACTAACCTGGCTTGCATTCAAGTCCTGCCCTTATTTGGGGTCCAACTCAGATGTTAGCTCTTTCTTGATTTCTTCCCTTATAACTGTGTGTGCAGATGAATGATTTTTACTCTTGGTCTTCCAATAAGACTCATGAAGACGATATTATTTTATAGCTAGAGACTGTGTTAGTTGTGTAAGTATAAATTTGCATCCATTTATAAGTTAGATTGTCATGTTCATGCTGATAATTACAAGGTTCTATTACTGCATATCTCTCCACTGTAGTGTTTATCACAGTGGGCTCTGCTTCCCCCTTTCTCTGTATGTCTCTGTCTCTGTCTTTGTCTCTGTCGCTGTCTCCCTCTCTGTCTCTCTCTGTCTCTGTTTCTGTCTGTGTCTCTCTTTCTCTGTCTCCCCCCACCCCCTGTCCCTTCACCACACACACCTAGGGACAGTGGACTTAGAAAATAGCAATTGTATCTGTTCTGTGCTATTTCTTCAGTTTAGTGGACTCCCATGGTGGTCCCGGTTTCTTCCTGAAAGTATTTTCTCTTTTCAGACAATGACATTATTTTCATTTGCTTTCTTCTTTGTGTATCACTTCCAAAAAGATTTTTGTCTTTAGCTGTTTTTCTCTCTTCGACTTCCAAAACATGGCTTGTTGTAATAATTTTATTATTTTTATGATACTTTAATGCAGTAAAATGATCTCTGCCTTTGTCTTTTATACAATAATTTTATTTTGCTTTTTTTAGTATTTGGATTTCTTTTCCTACTACATTTGTCAGAAAAAGATCCTACTTCTACTAATGCATTTATATTTCACATACTTATTGAGGTAACAAACACTGGGCATTACTGAACAGAATAAGTCTTCTTGAGACTGAATCCATTCCTTAAAGGTACATTAACACAGATTAACTAAATGAAGACCTGTATGAGGGAAATTCTGTCTGAAATTTCTCTTACAGTTCATTTTCCTTTTAAAATGTATTTCATATGACAATTTTCAAAACTGAATTTTCATTTAGGGTGGTTAAGATACTTTTCTTGCCCCTTTGAAGCTCAATTTCAGAATTTGAAAGTTTCCCAGCCTCCTAAGGTCAAGGTTTCATTCCTGTCGGTAAAGTTACCCAAAATGCATGGCATGCAGTACCAGGGATCAAACCCTGGTCTCTGTGCTTGCCTAAGCAGGTGTTTAGTCCACTGAGCTATCTCACTGACCCTCTTTACCTAGTTTTAATAAGTCAACAACACTAAGATTTAACAATTCAATTTTATGTATAAATAGAGGTTTTAGAAAAATCCTTATTAAGATTATAAAATAATCAAATTACCTTCAATTCATTGTCTAGATATGTAGTTGTTCATTTTTTTGGCTTTCCTGGGTCACACCAAAGGAAGCGAAATTGTCATAGGCCACATAAAAAGTATATAATATAATGATATACATGAGTAGCAAATCTTCTTTATGATTTTTCTTTTTCTTTCTTTCTTTTTTTTTTTTTTGGAAGGGGGAATTTAACTCCCTTTAAGATATTTTTAAAAGGTCTTACAGACTGCAAGTTGAAGAGCCTTATAGAATGTTCTTTTTAAAAAAATCAGTCTTCAAGGTGTGTAACATGTAAATCATTCTTCAAAATGTAGAGGAAAGGCTGGCCAAGTAGCTCCACAGATTAAAGCACCTGCAAGCAGGAACAGGGGCCGAGGGTTCAATCCCCAGGCCTGCTGTGCCAGCCCCACCCCTGGGGCACCCTGAGATGACAATTGAGACTGAGTGTAGTGGCAAAACGTAGAGGAAATTTTAGTAGCATTCTTGAGAGCCATATACCTCTTAGGAATCCCTTTGTAGCAGTTTGTACATATATCCCCACCTAGCACACTCTTGGTTCCTTACTTACGTTGGCAACCTTCTAAGACAGAGTCATGCTCTGTCTTTATCTTTTAGGTCATGTACCAAGGAGAGGCATGCTTAAATTTTTATGGTGAATGACTAAGAGCCCTATTATTTTAAAGCCAACACTTCTTCCTGAATGCTTTTTCTCATCTCAGACAATGACCTTATTTTCATTTACTTTTTTCTTCTTTGTGTGTCACTTCCAAAAAGAGTCATGTGATTAGCTGTTTTTGTTTCTTCTACTTCCAATACATGGCTTGTTGTAATAATTGTATTATTTTTAATGACACTTTAATGTGTCATTATACATTAAACAATACAATGACTGAAGAACTATCTTTTGCTTGAATCACTCACTATCCCAACTATCCCAAAGCCTACCTTCCAAGCTGCGTGGCCCCTTTCCCTTCTTTCAGTGCCCATAGACTTATAGGCTGGCTTTTGTTTTGTGTGTGTGTGTGTGTGTGTGTGTGTGTGTGTGTGTGTGATCTTTTGCATAGCCAGTCTGGAGCTAGAAAGCAGAAAAAGAATGATCTCAAGGAAACTGAGCTTCTGGCTCCTCTCCAGAAGGTGCAGGGAGCACAGCCTCAAATAAGCAGCTCAGGGAGAAGCACCGCTTCTTAATTGTTCTGGTCTACAGGATATAATAGCATTCATTTACACAAGTCACTGTGGCCTAATTTATATTTTCTATCATAAACTTTACCAATCATGGGACACAGACCAAGCTGCTCTCTTCCTTACAAGGCAAGCAATGAGCACACTCAGAACAGCTCTGTCCTTTCAGGTTTGTAATTAATATTTCATTTCATGTAAACTATAATAGCTTATGCTGTATAAACAAATTGGAAACCAGAATAAGGGACAAATCATTAAAGTGAGCTTCTGTTTTAAGGAAGTGTTGGCTTTAAAATAGTTATGTAAACATCCTCAGAGTAATTAGAGAGGTATCCATTATTAACGGTCCGCTTGAGTGAGTAGCATTACCTCTGTCGATCCTGTGAAGGCCACCTTGTCAATATCCATGTGGGAGGAGATGGCTGCCCCTGCAGTGGGCCCATAGCCAGGGACAATGTTCACCACTCCAGGGGGAAAACCTGCCTGGAAGGATGAAAAGCAAAACTGTCATAAGAGACCTCAGACTGATGCAAGAAAGGCGGACTTGGGATGGAGGCTGCTTCTTCAGGGTAGCCTTGTGAGTGACTCTGCAAAGAAGAATGCACTACCAATTAAATGCATGGTTAGGAGAGATACACAGCTACTAACTCTTACTTCGATGAGAAGAAAGATTTGTAATAATAGTGTTTGGACAGGACATCATATTTGCATCTTGTACTATGAATAACTCTACAAAGACAACCATCTGCAATGTATTAATTATTGTAACTATCCTATTAACCTGTTCTGAAACTGTCTCATTGCTATTTATTTCTCAGTAAAATTACTAAGAAAAGAAAAATACACTTATGCAGCTGTATTCTTTATTTCTCATAATTAGTATTTCATGTCTTAGCCTGTATGAAAATAACTTCAATGAAGGCAATCACAGGTAGTTGGAAACCAACTTAATATTACAGCATTGAAGGGATGCTATATTAATTTCATCATGAATGTGTGTTCATGAGAGTGGGACAAAGGCAAGAAAATACTCAGTCGCCAAATGACTGACTGCAGGCCTCTGAGTGGCTTCCGGTCTGCACTTGGAGGGAGACTCAAGACCACCAACTTCCACAGATCCCAGCCACCAGCCCTGCTCATGGCAACCTCACCGCTGGACAGCACCTTTGAGCAGAAGGTAGCTGACAGCAGCCCTCATGAGGGCTTCCCATCCAGCCTAGGGCCCTGGGATTCTCCTGCACCCCTGACCAGGAAGCTTACCTCTTTAATTAAGGATGCCACATGAAGAGCCGTGAGCGGAGTTTGCTCTGCGGGTTTAACGATCACTGTGTTTCCACAGCTGAGGGCAGGTCCTATTTTCCACGCCAGCATAAGCAACGGGAAATTCCACTGGAAGGAAATATTCTACAGTTCCGTCTTTGCTTTACTCAGATATACAGACATGAATGTAACTTCGACATCTGCAGCTCCTCCCTTCCCTCTAGTTGTTAAATAAAGGCTGCAGCAGTTTTGATAGGTGTCCAGTATATCCTTTTTAAGGTCATGGCAAGAAGTAATAACACTCAGAGGAGAGCAGATAGAAGAAGGGACAAGAAGAGTGGGCTCCCAAATTTAATCAACTGCTGTTACTTTAAATTCTTCTTCTACCTAGAAAAAAATTGCTGCCTGGTTTTTCATACAATCAAATATATTAGCTGTTAATTAAACTATCTAGGTTTTAAAAGTATGATCATCTCTTCTTTCTGTAAGTCATTCACTATATATACTCAACATTACTTAGCAACATTATAGGAAAAACTTTCTTTTTGTGTGGTGCTGGGACTCCAGTCTTGGGCTTTGACATGCTAAGCTGTGATCTTCCTACAAGGACAATAAATTTTGTTAAAGAAAAACATGTCTAGGGTCCAAGTGGCCGTGTTTGGGCTTGTATCTCAGCTCAACCACGGACCAGTCATGTGAAATCAGATGCGTTGCTTGTTTTCTATGTGTGAATTCAACATCCGGAAAGTGCTAATGATATCTTCTCTGCCTCAGAAGGTTGGCTTGAGATTTAATTATGTGGGGTAAATGTTTAAACATATTAGCTATCATTGGTATTTAAGGCTATAGTTTAATTAACAAGTGATCAATTTCATTAAAAATGTTTATATGTTCACCCTTCAAACTCATTGAAACTAAAGGCAAGTTGTTGTACTTTCTTCTTTTAAGAACTTCAGAACACTTTGAATCCCTTTAGTTGACTGAGATAATATTCTTTGTTAAGTGTAAAAGAAAATATTCATAATTTCCCTTAAAATGCTGTACCTCTCATAGAATTTGGAGTACTAGAATCTATTATCTAAAGTTGCAGTGTATTCCATAAGTGCCCCAAATGTCTCCAGTACTGTTTACCCACTCCAATTAACAAGTACCTTTAAGGACTTTGGCACTTGTTGCTATCTGTCTGTCATGAGAAGTCTCAGGGGAGACAGAGTGGTGCAGAGCAGGAGGCACATTCCTCTGAAGGATTATCCCACATCAGAAGAGCCCACAGTCATCTCTCTGTCATAAACTTATAAAACACAGTTCTTAATAGAAGTGCATAATACACATTTTTGAAAACAATCCTAAGAGTAGAAGTTTAGGATTTTTGGATGCAAAAATATTGAAACATGCCCAAGAGTTGTGTTAGGATACAGATAGTCTTCTGTACTGCCCAACTCATATCCCAGAAATTTAGGAACAGAAAGAGCAGGTTAAACAAGTCCTACATGATGAAGTTCACATCACATTTGTTACGTTTTGTGTCTAGTTGTCCCCCTAAAGCCTCATGCAGTCATTGGGGCAGGCTTCTAGTTTGTGGCTAATTCATGATCCAATGCTTGGATTATGGGTGTGAGTGCTACACCCACCCAAGGGCCAATAGCCTGAATACAGTCTAAGAAAGAGAGAGACACTTGCTGCAGGAGCCACTGCTCCTCCCTTTTGACTTCTTGCTGCTTTACCGTGTTTAGCCACCATGAACTTCTTCCCTCTGCCATGTGCCACTCTGCCTTGGAGCCAGCTGAATATGGTCTGAAACTTTAGCAAACTGGGAACTAAATAAACCTTTTCCTTCTTTAATTTTGGGTATTAGGTATTTTGTCCAGGCAATGAGAGAAAAATAACTTAAACAATATTTAACCAATATATGAGTGTCCATTTATAGAAGAAATTTTTGTCACCAAATGAAATAGAATTAATTTATTTATTCATTTATTTTTTGCTAATTATATAGGAGAGCAACTTACAGGAATGATTTGGCCACACACTCCGATAGGTTCATGTCTTGTGTATGTGAAGAAGTCTCCATCTGGAAAACAAAGCGAACTCTCAACCCTACAGGGATATTCTATACTTCAGAATGGAGCCTTACAGCTGGTGAGAGAGGAAGATGAGGTGAATATAGTATAATTAACAAGGAAGAACAAAGCTAATCTCCAATATTTTACAAAACAAAAATATGAGCCCTCAAATAGCAATTTGGAACAGTAAAGCTGAGTTAAAAACAAGTAAAAATGCAGGATTAGAAAATATTTGATGGATAATTCTGGTTTTCATCATTAGGGAGGGATGCTTTCTATATTACTGCAATGCTCAAAGATTCATAGAAAAAGTGTAATGAAGAAAGTTTGTATCTAGCTAAAGAAGAATGATTTTCAAGTGCATTTTCAGCATTAATATCCCTTTTAATTACTAAATCATTAAAACCATTTTGAAATAATGAATTTAAAAAGATTTCCTAGAAATAAGTCTTTCTACTGATTTACTTTGAAATGTTTACCTTTGCCTGCTAAGCAAAATGCAAGCTGTTTTGTATGGAAGGAGTGATTACCAAAATACATGACATTTTTCTGTCTAGAGTTGACTAACGTGTTGCGTTTGATGTGGACTTTCTGAGAGCATCATTGCACTTTGTGTTCAGTTCTGTGTCACTCTCCACAGCAAGGCCTGGCTTTCTGAAGATTCACACATGCTTTTTTTTTTCTTTTGTGAAACTGGGCATTGAACTCAGGCCCTTGCGCTTATTCTACTGAGCCATCTCCTTGGTCCCAATACACACATACTTGAAATGGCTTTTCCTGTGTGGTCTGAGGGTGAAGTAAGACAGTCATTAAGATGAGCACATTTTTCAGCATCATTATGGTTTAATTTTCCCATTTTTTAGCTTCCTGACTACCATTTGTAATGTACTGAATGTCCAATTAGATCAGAGAGACACATCAGGGCCAGTTTTGTCAGTGTGTCTTACTATTCAGCGTAATATGCTTTCATGAGTTATATTCCACCCACACTATTTCTCAAATGGATGCTTTTTCACTTGAAATTTTTGATGTTTCTATGATTTTTATGTATATAGCCTAAATATATACACGCACATTTGTATATACAAATTCTTACCTCAGGCTATAAACATAGCCTCATGTTGTTTTGAAGCTATTTGAAACAAATCAGTATGAATGAGTTTGTTTAATTATTCTGGTCTATCTCAACTGAGGTTGAACAGGCTCAGATCACTATAGCTGCCCCAAAGGGGAGCAGGCAAAGAGGCTTAAACAATTACATTATGGAAGGGTATAAATGTCACTATGGCGACGAAATCCAAGTAATTAATGTCTGAGGCCAGCTACGAAAAATTGGGCCTCTTAATTACTCGTCTCAAATCACTCATTGTCACCATTAGCATGTTCCTACTTTATCAGTTTCTAAAATATTCATGGTGTTATCTTCTGTGTGATTATGTTGGGACAACTTAAAGGCCATTCCTTGGATTATCACAGAATTTCCTAGTTTAGAGCGGTGCTGGCTTAATGACAATAAAAATAATTGGGCTCCGTTTGGCTGGCGTCTTCAAGAGTGGGCGCCTGAAGTCACTCAGCTCTGTAGCAGTCGCCTCGGTCCTCCCCACCTGGAGGTCTCCCCGTGCTCCTCACCCACAGGTATGGTGCGGCCCTCTCCCCGTGCTCCTCACCCACAGGTATGGTGCGGCCCTGGATCTTGTCCGCCCAGCCTGCGCAGTAGCGTAACGTCTTTATGCAGCCGCCTAAATCCAACAGATACGCATCAGAAAATAATTTTCCAGCGTTCATTGACTCCATTGTCTGAAAGATAGATTAATCCCAAATTTAAAATTCTATAACATTTTAGATTAGAAATGTACATAGCCTCAATTCTGAACAATTTTGTGCTAGATAACTGGAGACAGAAGAAATTTTGTCTAATCTCTCTCTCTCTCTCTCTCTCTCTCTCTCTCTCTCTCTCTCTCTCTCTCTTAGAAAAGGTCTACAAGGTGTTCCAGGTCTCACTACTAGACAGGACTCATAGTGATTTGCCTGTTTACAGCCTCCCAAGAGCTGGGATAACAGCTAGGTGCCACCAAACCCAGTCTCAATGTGCCCCGGGGGCAGGGCGGACACCGTCCCCGTCACCTCGCCCACCGCGTGCAGGCCTTTAATCCACTGAGCTATTTGGCTGGCCCTCTAACGTCTCTTTAAAAGGGATGGGAAAACAGTTAAAACAATAACTCATATAGTCGCATAGTGGGATCTTAACTAGAAGAGATAGGAGATTCCAGTCAGTAATCCTGACTGCTGTTTCTCTTTTTTGGTACACATTTTCAGTACATAATTTTTTATTCCTTGCATGAAGTTGGTACATGTACATAACCCATCTTCATTCTTTTTTTTTTTTTCATGTCCACTCTTATCTGTTAAGCCCTGTCTCAGTTGAAAAATATCTCCCTACCAGCTCTGATCTAGTTTTTATTTTGCTCTTTATTTATTAGTTTTTCTCATAAAAGAAACCACATGATATTTGTGTGTCTTATTTATTTGACCTAACATTATGGTCTCAATCAAGGTGTGTCCACTTTCCTACAGATAACTTGAGCTTATCTTTGAGAAAAAGTCATATTCTACTTCATGTAAATACTACATTTTCTTTATTCGTTCATCTGGTGATGGGCAGAGCATATAGGCCACTTCCAAGGTTCAGCTTGTCTCATTCCGAGTGTCCCCTGGCTAGCCAGTGTTTGAGGTCATAATTTTCTATGTCTTCAGATAAGAATATTACACAGCCTCCATGAACAGACATATTAAATATTTTGGTGAGCTAAACTAAGGAGAAATAAGATTGATCATAGAGAAATATTTTGGATACCTTCAACAAAGTAAATAAGATTTTTCAGTAAGATTTTAGGAGCACATAATTTTAAGAAAATAACTACAATATTCTACAAGATTCACACCGCCTTTAACCTTGTTAAAGACTTGTTACAGTTCTAGAGCAAAGGAAAGATATATATTTAATTTGGCTTAACTGAGGAATTGCCAAAGTTTGTCCTGTAGAATCTGTAATGGGAGCATAAGTTAACATCATCCAGAACCAGAAAGTGGGTAGCTGTTTGAGAAGTCTTTTCAGAAAGAGATTCAGTTTTCCTTTTTCCATAGAGTGCATTTGTGCTCACAGAAATCAATGTTGTTGCCAGTTCACACAGTGAATGCTTTGGCAAGCTCTCCCTACGCATCCAGCTCAGTTATACTCACAGCCAGCAGCAGACGATCTCTTTCAAATAGGTCAGCCAGCTTGTACAGGAGGCGGCCCCTCTCGGAAGCATCCATAGTACGCCATGGAGAGCCGATGGCAAAGGCCTGTCTGGCGGCCTTCACTGCTTTGTCAACATCTGCCTGCAAGTCAGGGAATTCAATTCAGTGCACTCAATGTAATGGCAGAGCAAAGGCTATGGTGATAACCCTTTTGAACAGGCTATAGCTAGTCTCAAACATATACTATGTCTCCATTAGCTCAAAGTCTGGCACATTCTACAGAGTCAGCTGTGGCAGCAGTTTGGACCCTGCTGGGTAATCTTTAGAAGGATGAGCTCCTCACACCTGACACATGCCTTAATTCTTAGAATATAAAATGTATACTACCTTTACAGTGATTACCATAATTCAAATAATGCTCTAACAACTTTACATAAGTTACTTCATTTGATTCTCAATAATCTCATAGGGCCAATGAATTCTTCACTTAATAGATGCCAAAAGAGAGGAGAAGAAAAATTTGCTCTAAGGCAATAACCATGGATGAACTGAGTTTTCATGGAGTCCCTGAATCCCTTGGGCTTAATCGCGTTCTCTTCTCCTTTGATGACTCTTGTGCTACGAGAGTTCCAAGCAAACTCAAGATCCACAAAAGTGAATACATGTTGTGGCCTCTGGGTACTCTCCACTCTGTGCATGCTCATGAAGAGCTTTCTGAAAACTGAATAAGCGTTTTTCTTTGTTATGGAAGAGTAAGCATTACAAACATGTGCTCATTTTTTCTACACAGAGGGCAGAAGGCTGTAGGGAAGTGGAGCTGTTCTGTAGGAGCCTCTGCATGAGAGGAGCCCCCATTCCTGGCAGGGTACAAAGAGGTCTTTTACAATTCCTAATTAAGTAAAGCAATCAGCTACTCTTTGTTGATATTGCACCAAAGACAGTCCATCCCACAATAATGTAATCATTCAATACTGCAAGCATGTATTGATATAAAAGAAATTATGTGATGAATTTTTAAAAATCTACATTGATTCAAAATAAAAAACAAAAAATAAATAATGTAATAAATCCACACCAACAAAGTATTTTTAAGTAGCCTCCTTATTTTCACCTACACTGCCTTCTATCATATTCTTTTTTTTTCTTTTCTGTTTTTTTTTTCTTTTTTTCTGTGTTCTTTAAAGCCAGATATACTCTAGTTTTCTGCTAATCAACACCGGTTATTCTATACCACTGCAGATACTTATGCATACACATAGATATCGCCTACAAAATGTACCTATAATGAAATCACCACTCTTACATTTCTAATTCATGTGGGATTTGTTTTCCTCACCAAATCAAATGCAAATATCTTAAATTCCAACACCCCTCTTGCATTTTAGCTACATAGAACTAACCCCTATGTGGAACTTCACAAATCTCATCATAGATCGGAAGATTCCAACTTTTTGCAGAAGAAATAATTCCCTTTGAGGATCCAGATGGGCATAAAAATAGAAACAACTAATTTTTTAAATGCTTACTATTTTTTTTGGTGGAACTGAGGATTGAACTCAGGCCCCTCACTTGCCAGGCAAGTGTTTATTCCACTTAGCCATCACCCTGGCCCCAAATGCTTACATTTAAACTGAATTTGAGGCAAGGACAATGTCTTTCTTGTGGGGAGCCACAGACCTCCATCTTAGACTGCATTCCATTAAAAAGCCACAAAACTAAAGTCTCAAAAGTATTAAAGTGGAAATAATTAAACTATTTTAAATAGATATGTTCTTTAATTCATAAGGTTGAGTCCTCATAAACCTGTAATAAGTTGAAAATACTATAAGTCAAAACTGCATTTAACATACCTGACATTATAGGTTAGCCTAGCTTGACATCAACTGCTTAGAATGCTTATAGCCTATTACGTAATAAAGTGTTCAGTGTCTTGCTTAGCTTGCTTAAGGCAGTGCACTGTAGAGCATTGCCTGTTTATATTTGGGTCATGTAGCTGGCTGGGGATTGTGGTTTTCTGTTGCTGCATAATATTAAAAGAGATTTTTGCATTACTAATTGCTAGCATGGTAACAAAAATCAAATTTAAAATATTTGTATTAAATATGTATTGCTTTTGTATCTTAGTAGAATTAAACATTGGCAATCGAACTATTACAAATTGTGAATTTATGCCAAACTAAGATGATTGGAAGTAATAGAGATTTCTTAAAAGGGTAATCTTGTCTGAGTAAGTGATAAGACATACTGAGTTCAAGCAAAGATTTTTCAGTATGCTCCCTAATCCATGCATCCCACCATCCAAGTTGGGAGTATGACGTATGTATGCAACAAAATGCAGGGGCTCACCCCCTGCTTTCCTGAGAAATACATGTGCAGTGCAAATTTTGAGCTTTCAGTTAATCATATTGATTGCATATTTTGGGGTTTAGTGTTATGCCATAAGTGTTATATTTTTTCATGTTAAATTCAGAGAGTACTCTTTAGGAAAATGAACAGAAAATCAAACCACAAGAATCTGAGATTATCAGTGTGATGTATGGATGTCACGGCTTATAGAATGTTTGCTTCTCTGGGTTTAAACAGATCTGTGTCACACAACTTTCATTTCAGTCCTTCCGCCCAGCATCCTGCCACTGGGGCTCCAGCTAAGTATAGACTATTAGAGGTATCCTGGCCTTGGTGGGGACCAGCAGGACTGGCCTCAAGACAGTGATTCATCCATATGAAAAATACATCCTTAGAAAGTGCTGCTATCAATGGAGATGTTATTATGGTCATATATTTGGATCCATATATACATATATGGATTACAGGTGTACATGCATGCACCACCACACCTGGTCTACCTCTCCTTTTTTATGTCTAATATTCAATTTTTTTGGAGAAGAAATAAGAGTAATGGTAGTTAACTTATAGTTTTGAAATTTTAAAAAAATTAGATTTCAATTCTACTTCCTCCTTACTAGCAGTATAGCTCTGGAGCACCCAGCCAGCCACATCCATCCATTCATCCACCTAAAGATTTCATACTCAGTCTACCATATAACATTTTTCCCATTAGTCTGCTTATCATAGGACAGTGAACTGAACTGATTGTCCTTTTGAAGTAGTCAACCAAATAGGAGATACATGTAACCAAACTGAACCAAACCAGCAGTCTGCTATATTGTATATCATGATTGACTGTTATCTGTCAGTATTCCCAAGGAATTGCTTCCAAGACCATGTTATAGATAACCTAAGTTGACAGATGTTAAACACTTATATAAATTGAGAAAAATTTTTCATATAACCTACACACATTCTCACATATAATTTAAATCATCTATGGGTTACTTATAATGCCTACCACAATGTAAATTCTATGCAAAGAGCTCTTACGATATATTGTTTAGAGAATAATGATAAGAAGAAAAACATCTGTACACATTCAGTACAGGCCCATCACTGGTCTAACTTGGCCTAACTTCATAGTTTATGGCAGAACCAACATCACCATGGTTGGTTGATGCTGTAGATGAGGAATTTGTGGCCACAGAAAGCCTACCCTATTCTGAGCTGAAATGTTGTGTTACATTTTTTAAACTCAGTTTTCTGATCTGTAAATTCAAAGCAGGCAATCTCATAGGGTTATGTTGAAGATTATATAAATAATCCTTGACATACAATTTCATGTGACAGACATTATGTTACTCAGCATTATAGATAGGATTGTTATAATAGTCTTAGATGTCAAACTAGTGTTAAAATGACGTTAAGCAATTCCAGTGTATTATAATACTTCCTTTCACTGCCAGATCGAATTACAGGTTTTATTATTTTACACTGTTGACAGCCTGCCGTAGTTCAGCATTTTCCTTCCCCAACGGGGTTGCATACAGCTACAGGGTTAATCTCTATCTTACAGTTTTATCTTATCACACTCCCTTTCAATATTTGCAGCTGCTCATTTTCACCTGCTGTCCAAGGCCAGACTCCTCTGCTTGGTTTTCCGAGCCCAGTATGCTCTGCCTCCCTCTGTCCAACTGACCCAGAACTTGTGTTCAGATTGTTTTGTACCCTGACACAGATCTCCATTGCTCTGTGATTCAGCATACTGAGAATGTTCTACTAAAACACTTTTTAAAATCCTATACATTTTTAAAGGCTCAACTACTACAACTTAATTAACTCCTCACTGGAGTAATCGATTTCATGAAGTGCACTAGTTAAGAGACTCTGAAGCTTGATGCACTGAGATATATTTTTTACAGCCTCAAGCTACTACTATAACTTATATGGACTTTGTCGTGTGTGTGCATAGGCCTCATGAGCATGAAAGCAAGCACAGAGTCTAGCCAAACTTTAATCCCATATCTTACCCAGTTCTAGGTTCTATAATTTGGTAGGATCATTCTAATATCTCTGTTTTAATTAATAATTATTATGAGCTGCATTTTAAGTTATGGTGTTTTTTACTCTTCTGGTCCTAAATAGAATGTCAATAAATACTTCATAATCTCCTTAACTATCTTCTAAACCTATCAAGTTACCCTGATGTTTCATAAGGGTATATCTTACATAACTTATATTGACATTTATGTAATCACTCATATTTTACTTGATTCCATGGAATAAAAAAGCTTTTACATTATTTGTAGCCAGTAGGCATAAAGTTTATTGTTGCTTATCTTTTTCTTTTGCTCTTTTTAAATTTCAAGGCTAATATTTTTATTGTAAGACAGGCATCTCCCAGGATGTAATCTTTCAATTAACCAGAAAGTAATTTAGTACAGTAACTCAGATTTGCTATCAGTGGCAACAATGTTGCCTATGGCATTTAAAATGCTTTTTTATTTGTATTGTTTATTATTATTGCTATTATTATTATTGTTACTGGGAATCAAACTAAGGACCTTGTTCTTGCCAGCAGGCACTGTGACACTCAGCCATTTCCCTGGTCCTTATTTTGTCTTTTGAGACAAGGTCTCACTGTGTAGTTCAGGCTGGCCTTGAACTCAATATGTAGCCCAGGTTGGACTCTAACTCCTGGCGATCCTCTTGCCTCAGCCTCCCGAGTGCTGGGATTATAGGTCTATGTCACCATAGCAGAGAATTTTCTTTAAAAAAATGTATTTGGTATATACAAAATACTTAGGATA